AGGCGCTAATCAATCGTGGGGTTAACCTGGATCCCCTGGGCAAGTGGTCAAAGACCGGACTAGTGGTATATGATTCCTCAGTGCCCATTGGTGAGTGTTCCCTGACCAGTAGCCCTTCTGCCTCTGCCCTTCTCCCAGCATGTCACACACAGGTCCTCCTCTGCAGGTGCTACTCCCGAGTACCTGGCTGGGCACTACATGCTACAGGGGGCCTCCAGCATGTTACCTGTCATGGCCTTGGCACCCCAGGAACACGAGCGGATCCTGGACATGTGTTGTGCCCCTGGAGGAAAGACCAGCTACATAGGTACGAGAAATGCAGGCAGGAGTAGGATTTGTCTGGTTCTCTGCTTTTGAAAGTAGATGGGGTTGGAGACTCGCTAGTTCTCAGGAAACTGCACAGACAGCTAGCAGGGTGGAGAGGAGTACAGGCTCTGGATTCGGCCTGAGTTCCAGCCCTGTGGGTGACACTTAGCACCTCGGGCAAGCCTTTGACTTTCTTTTGTCACCTGTAAAATGGGGTGGTAACTGTGCTTGGGCTGGCTTTTATATTATGCCTGGGTGATAAGGGTTGAGATATACATATAGAGATACTTGGCATAGTAATTAGTCAATTTCTTACTAAGCTGTTAACGCTTAAAAGAAGTAACTTAGTCTGTGGGACCAGAGAGATGTTCAGTAACGATGGAAAAACCCATGATGATTGTGCTCATCACCAGGGGTCATTGCAGACTGGGGAGACCCATGCAGCAGGCAGTGGGGAGCAGGGCTGATTGGGGTGAAGTTTCCCTTGAGGTGCTGAGACTTCACCTATGGATTCCTGGGCTGGAGGTGCTAGTAAGTGTGGGGGCAGAGGAGCTGGCTGCTGAGCACTTAACCTCCCTCCCCCCAGCCCAGCTGATGAAGAACACAGGTGTGATCCTTGCCAATGATGCCAATGCTGAGCGGCTCAAGAGTGTTGTGGGTAACCTGCACCGGTTGGGAGTCACCAACACCATTATCAGCCACTATGATGGGCGTCAATTCCCCAAGGTGGGACTCCCTTCTGTGCATCTCTCCTGGGGTGTCTTCCAGTTCACCTGCCCCCTTCCTGACATCAGAATATTTAGACTTGCCTCTAGGAAATAAATGGTGCAGTATAGGTGACTAAAAACGGTGATTAACCTACCCTTTTTCTCCAGGTGGTGGGGGGCTTTGACCGAGTACTGCTGGACGCTCCCTGCAGTGGCACTGGGGTCATCTCCAAGGACCCAGCTGTGAAGACTAACAAGGTGAGGAGCTGGGGTGGGGGTGGGAATAGCTGAGAGGTCTCGGCTGGGCCTTGCAGAGCAGGAGTGGGAGGTGGAAGGGCACCCGGGGCACCCAGCAGCTCACCTCTCTTCCTGAGGCTGCCTTTTGAAATTCTGACACTCTTGGGTCTCCGCCCTGGTGCAGGATGAGAAGGACATCCTGCGCTGTGCTCACCTTCAGAAGGAGTTGCTCCTGAGTGCTATTGACTCTGTCAATGCCACCTCCAAGACAGGAGGCTACCTCGTCTACTGCACCTGTTCCATCATGGTGAGGGCTCTGCATGGCAGTGCAGGAGGGGAGGGCTGGAAGACTGCCCCTTAGCTCCCTTCAGCTCAGCTCTGCTCTGCTCTTCCTTCCATCTTTGTCTCCCCCACATATCCAGGTGGAAGAGAACGAGTGGGTGGTAGACTATGCCCTGAAAAAGAGGAATGTGCGGCTGGTGCCCACAGGTCTAGACTTTGGCCAGGAGGGCTTTACCCGCTTTCGAGAAAGGCGCTTCCACCCCACTCTGCGTTCCACCCGCCGCTTCTACCCCCACACCCACAATATGGATGGTTTCTTTATTGCCAAGTTCAAGAAATTCTCCAATTCTATTCCCCAGTCCCAAACAGGTAAGTGATCTCTCTACCCATCATCACTGCCTTTGCTCTTTCTGCCTTTCAAGACTCATTATAGTGTGAGTGTGGGGAAGGGAGGATTTCTGCCATCCTTACCACAGCCTTAGCTGCTCGGATAAGAGACCCCTTTCATCCAGCGAGGCTTGGTCCTGAGCCGGGACCCCATTGGAGCATGTTAGAGTGCTCCTGTGGATGCCAGCCTGTTCCTTTATCTACCAAGTGGTTGCACTTGCTCATCACTAAGTATGTTCCCAATGCGGGTTGTGGTTTCTCTTCCTTCTTGGCCCAGGGTCACCTTACTGGTAATGGACCTCTGCTGGTCCAGCATTGTCAGCACTGGGTTGGCAATAAAACTCCTCAGAACTGTCCGTTCTCTGAGCCCATCACACTAATTACAGATTGTTTTCTCAGCCATCTGAGGCGTCTGTCCTGGATCTCAAGGGGAAGTGTGGGGTTTGCTGGGCTCTGCATGCTGGGATATAACCTGGGTTTAGTTGGAAGAGGGAGAAGTGAGCGTCTCTGGATACAAACTGCATGGTTTATTGAGTTGGGTTTTTTCTTTATCAGTAGCGACCCTTATAAAAGTCACATCTGAATGTTAACAAAAACCTTAAGAAATAGTTAAAGTTTGTTGTAACTTTAAAAGTATGTATTTAAATGTCAGTACTCATTTATGTCTTAACTAGAGGTGCAGTACACAAAAATTCATGCCCTCGTGGGGGTCCCTCTGTATTTTTACAGAGAGGAAGGGAGAGGGATAGAGAGTTAGAAACATCGATCAGCTGCCTCCTGCGCACCCCCCACTGGGGATGTGCCCGCAACCAAGGTACATGCCCTTGACTGGAATCGAACCTGGGACCCTTCAGTCCACAGGCCGACGCTCTATCCACTGAGCCAAACCGGTCTGGGCTGAACCCTTCTCTTTAATGCAGGGTTCAAATAGGACTTGAGTGAAGCCAGGTGATATTAAGTAATGTGAAACCAGGTAGTCTACTCTAAGGCACTCTTTCAGTTATGTGGAACACTTGGCCAAGAAATAGTACCCAGGCAGTTGCCTTATTTTAATGCCACTAATGATCAAGACTCAGTGATGAGGTCCTTTTTCTCACATAATCTGTTTAATTTTAGCCCCAGGAAATTCTGCAACATCCACCCCTACAAACCCAGATGTGCCTGACCTGAAAGGCCAGGTGATCCCCAAGCCTGAGAGCAGCAGCAAGCCTGCCAAAAAGGCCAAAGGGGCTGTGAAAGCAGAGTGGCACTTGCAGAAACGGCAACGTCCCAAGAAGACCTCCTTCCAGAAGCAGAATGGTATCCCCAAAGGGGCAGACTCTGAATTGTCCACTGGACCTTCTGTCCCAAAGGTCCAAGCCTCCTCCAAGCCCCAGGGTAACAGGCAGCCAGCTGAAAAGGCCGTAGTGATCAGGAAACCCAAGGTGACCGGGAAGCTAAAGCAACAGTCACCTAAACTGCAGTCTTCCAAGAAAGTTGCCTTCCGGAGGCAGAATGCTCCTCTCAAGGCCATGGATACAGAGATGCCCACCGGGCTGTCCCTCTCCAAGCCTCAGGCCACTTGGAAGCCTGAGAACTGTGTTCAGCCCCAAGGGGCTGAGAAGGCAAAGCAGCAGGTGCCACAGAAGCCTTCCAAGAAAGCTGCCTTCCAGAAACAGAATGGCACCTCCGAGGGACCCCAGACCCCTACCATGTCCCCCCTTAGTGCCAGCCGGCCCCCACCAGCAAAGAGGAGAAAATCTCAGCCCAGAGGCAGCAGCGGGCCACTGCTGTCTTAGATACTTGGGTGAAACGAGACTGGGGTGCGTCTTGCTGTTGTCCCTGGGTTGGAACTCTTGCCTCTGTGAGGATGGCTTTCCCACTGTGCATATGAAGTTTAATATACATTTTGCAATCTCTGGTCGCTGTGTTTTTTGAGGGGGCCAAGTACTGGCATTGCACCTTTAAGGGTAGATGTGAGGGTGGGACAGGGATCCTCCTAAGAGGGGACAGTGGTACACGGAAATCGGGTCACCCTGGGACCCCTGGGACTCCAGGGACCCGGAAAGGAGAGCCCAGGAGTTGGAGTTAGGGTGTTGGGGAGAGGAGGACGATAGGGGTGTGGGGAGATGGGCTCCCTGCCACCAGGACCCATGGCGGACTGGAGGGTTGGGTTTTCGGCCACCCTGGCTGGGTTCTGGGCACAGACGGGTCTGGCGCTCAGAGAAGCGCTGGCTCGTGCTCTGCTCAGCTCTGGGCTCTGCCTCAGACCCTCAAAAGTTGAGGTGCCAACCTCACATTGAGCCTTTCATTGGCTTCCTCTGCGCCCTCCCCCGCCCCCCTGACCTCTGCCCTCTCTGCCGAGCCGTTTGATTGGCTGTCCTGCGTCCCCCGGGCGCCTCATTGGCCCTTCTCCCTCGCCCCGCATCCCTGCCCCTGCACCGGGCTCCATCTCCCAGCAGAAGGCGCAGCCATGAATCCGTTATTCGGGCCCAACCTCTTCCTCCTACAGCAGGAGCAGCAGGGCCTGGCCGGGCCGCCGGGGGCCCCGCGGGGAG